GCGAGCAGCTCCTTCTTCCTTGCATCATCAAGTGCTGTCTCTTATACACATCTAGATGTGTATAAGAGACAGGCTTTAGGGTATACATGTATTCAGTTTTGATGCATTTGGACCGCTAACAAAAAAGTTGGCAAAAACACCGAAATCGGAAGAAATTTTGGCAAACTCTGAAAGCTACTCCGAATAGGGTTTTATAGTGCTTATTAGTTTTTTTTTTCCATGTTTTTTTGCCTGTTTGTGTTTATATTATGAGCGGTCCAAATGCATCAAAACTGAATACATATATACCCTAAAGCACATACATATCACACAAGAAAACAAACAACAAAAAAACCACCAATTCGGGTAAATATGGCAGTTTCGGTGAAAAATCCGCTGAAAATGACATCACCTATTAACCATATGTGATTGTTGCAATTTATAACGAGTTTTTCCATACAGTATACAGGTCCATGTTTGTCGGAGAAGTGACTCTATAGCTTTGCCTCTACCTGCTGTTCTCTCAAATGCTCATGGCTTTTCGCTGGTCCTGTTATATCTGCAAGCAGTGGAAAGCTGCAAAACCATAAGACTTTAGTACTGCCTCATGAGGGTGAACATGGGGACTGTTTATCCCCTCACCACCTACACCTGCTCATAGATGTCTGAGGTGACCCTCATCGGCAAGTGTGTTGAAGTTTGAGCCCTTCTGTAAACAGCTCTCCAGAGTGGACATGTGGTTGATGATCTTGGGTTTTGCCCATGTGGATCATTTGTAACATTGTAATACTTCCGCTGTTTTGGTTTGCAGACAACGGAAAGGATCAAAGGCTGCGAAAGGGTTTGGACGATGTGGCAAAGGTTCTCGATGTCGACGCTGAGGTGATGGTTTGCTCACCAATCCTGGATCGTTGCACTCGTGGAAAGCAGCAGGGCAATAGAAACCAGGAGGGGAAGAAAAGGACACATGCAAATCCACTGGGTACAGCAAATGGGCAACTGTCAGAGAAGCCATCACAGGTATGGTTAAGAAAACAGGAACACAGCCAGAAAAGAAAACAAAAATGAAGTATATGGCACAGTGTTGCTCTGTATGTTGAGTTGATGCAACCTGACAAAACTATCTTATTCTTTTACCCAGCAACCCTGCTGGGCCACGACCACCTAACTAAAAATATGCAAGTACTCTCTCTCTCTCTCTCTCTCTCTCTCTCTCTCTCTCTCTCTCTCTCTCTCTCTCTCTCTCTCTCTCTCTCTCTCTCTCTCTCACACTCACACACACACTGTGGCAACTCGCAGGAGCGACCTGCAGCGCTTTGATCGATTGCGAAGTCCGCAATCAATCAAAGCGCTGCAGTGTCCGGCGAGTCGCGAGTCGTGGTACTCGCCGAGGAGGTGAGTCCGGAGGCGACGGTCTTGTGGGACACATAGTAAGTCCTTGCCTCGCGAGTGGAGAAGCAAGTACCCGTCGATGATGTGATAGTTGCTGGCCGGCGGGTGATCCGGAGATAGCTGCACTTATAGCGTGGCGTAATCCGGATCGACTGGTAGCCCTGGATGAAATGTCATTGGAGTTCCTCGTCGAATGCGAAGGCATGATGTGTCATGGCGCAAAGATCGGTTCTGCGCGATAGTGCATCGGCTGCGTGATTGGAGAGGCCGGCGAGATGTTTCGGTGTGAAGTCGAATTGGTCGATGAAGTACACCCATCGTCCGATAGTGCTGCTCACCGTGTCTTGCGTCTTGGAGTAGGTCAACGGGTTGTTGTCGGTGACCCATATGAACCTACAACGCCCAAGGAGGAAGTGCCGCCATCGCTTGAGAGCCATCACGAACGCGAGCAGCTCCTTCTTCCTTGCATCATCAAGTGAGTTGATGGGAGGCACCTTGTGGCTGGAATACTCCATGGGATGCCAGTCGTCACCGTCGTGTTGTTCCAAGACTGCCCCAATGCCGTAGCCGGAGGCGTCGGTTGTTACTCTTGTTGGCAAGGTGGTGTCGTCGATGCTAAGGACGGGTGCCATGAGCATGGCAGTCTTGAGTGCTTGGAATGACCAGCGTGCTTTGTCGTCGAATACGAATGGCACCTTTGGCGATTGTAGTCTCGTCAATGGTGCAGCGATCCTTGGGTACCCTGTGATGCAGCATTGGTAGTAGCCTGCCAACCCCATGAATGAGCGAACGTCTGTGGTGTTGGTGGGCTCGGGACGTACGCGGATGGCCTCGATCTTGTCCGCGAGTGGACGGATGCCTTGCGGCATCACATAATGGCCCAAGTATTCGAGCTCTTGCCGTGCGAATTCGCATTTGTCGCAGTTGGATTTGTACTTGGCTTGTCGTAGCCGCTCCAAAACGGTTCGCAGGTGGTCCACATTCTCGTCCAAACTCCGGCTGTACACCAAGATATCGTCGAGGTAGATGAGTACGAATCTGTCCAGCATGTGTAGGAACTCTGTTGTCATAGCCGCTTGGAACGTGGCCGGGGTATTCGTAAGGCCAAAAGATATAACCAGCCATTCAAAATGCCCATATCGCGTCTTAAACACTACAACCCCATATGAAGAGTTGGGCATACACTTTCTGCAAACGCCATCGGATTTCCTTCTTTCTTGCCTGAGGAACGGCAAACTCAGCATCCTGAGTAGGAAAATACAGTACCATATGAACTGCTTATAGAGCGCTATGCTGAAGGGCTAACACCACCGGGATGAACTGTTGCAGAACAAATCCTGCAGCAGCTAGACAACCTTGTTTTGGATGACCCCCTCTTGCCGCAGTCGTCGTCATCATCGGGCCATAGAGAAGGAATCAATGCCAAGGAAACGCAAGACACCTGCTCAATGCCATTCTGTGATGATCCACCTGAGATTCGGCTAGCATGTGGGTTGCATGCATTGTGTCATGAGGATTATGAAGGTACAGTCAGTGCGTCTTTTTGTATGCATACGTATGACGACAGTCAATATTGCACTCACATCCGGCACCCTGACATGTCATGTCCAATTTGTGGACAAGGAATGCCTTTATAATTGTGCGTGCCTCTGTGTTCCTTGCCTGTGGGAGCCACGCTGCCTGTGATATCTGTCTACGCCGTGCCATTCGGTGCAGCAACTGCGAGTGTGAGAATTGGACGCGATGCTTCCGCAGTCCACACCCGAATTGGTGCTGTCCTGTCTATAGGAGTGGCCACCTACCATAGACAACGGCTACTCGTCAACAAAAATCATCCTGCAACCCGAACACTGACTGACCTCTCGTGTCATTCTAGAGTGGAACCTACTGAACTCTCTCTCTCTCTCTCTCTCTCTCTCTCTCTCTCTCTCTCTCTCTCTCTCTCTCTCTCTCTCTCTCTCTCACACACACCTTGTATACTTCCAGT